CATGTTAATTGCAATTAGAGCACCAGACTCACCACACCACATCATCTCTAGGGTCTGTTTGGACCAACAACGTGCCTCCAGTTGTCACACATCAATGGGAGACACAGCGATCCATGCCTCGAGCTGCACATGGCTGCAGCAAGCTGTTACCACAGCTTTCAGACTACTGAACTTCTTTGGTTGCATTAGGACAAAAGGAAGGCTAAAAACTCCCTTTCAGAGTGGATGTAAGTCTGGAAACAAATGCCAGATCTGGTGGCATCCCAAACAGCGATGCGCCTGGCAGATTGTCCCTTCCTCTGGACAGCGGGGCCCTGGAGGAAGCGTTCCTCTCCCTACGAAGAGCAGCTCACCCTGGTCCACCTTGCCAAGAGTTACAAAGCTTTATAAAAACACAAGCACAGAAGGCAGAGTCTTCCCCTGGATACTCTGGTACACGGCTTGAGTCCTTCAAGTTTCCTTTCTGTAGTGTGGATTTTGCTTTTCCAAGGCAGGTTGAGGAATAATGTCTTATTCTAGTGCTAGGTTCGGCTTCAGGGCAAGCACTACATTGCATCAGCTCATGGCAAGGCCAAACACGCCGTGCTGCTGGAAGCTGGAGTCGCAGCCTGAGGGATGCAGCAGGACTGCCATCTCTCCCAGGCATGCCACACCTTCATATCCCCACAGCCTGAGAGGAAGCAGGCACATACTGATGATACCACGCGTGCCTGGATGACAGGAAAGTGGGAAGTCAGAACAAGTTCCCAGGATATTGTGGATGCTTCGCAAAAATCCCTCCTGCCCTGCCTTGCCCTGCCCGGGCTCTGCCTTTCACATCGCTGAGATGCTCATGGTGTGAGCAGCAGCACGGTGGGGATGTGTCCGGGGTCGGGAGCCCAGCACTTGCTCTCCCCATCAGAGCTGCCTCAGAGACTGCTATGGGTTTATCCAAGGCTACTCCAAAACCAGCCCCAGCCCTTGCCCAGCAAAAGCAGTGGGACCTGTGCCAGTCGGGCTGGCCGTAAATAAAGGGGAAAAGACAAAAATCTGCAAAATGTTAGTTAGTAATTCTCTGAGCTGCAGTAGACAGAGTTGTTTCTATTTATTTATTTATCTCTAAAGTGACGTTTGCTGTCCAGAAGCGAACATTTCAAGAGCAACACCTCCCTACTTTACGCCTGAAAGCAGAGCTCCCGGGTTCACCCCGCAGAGCTGAGCTGGGTGTGCCACAGCCGGGAGCACTTGGCATCTCCGCAGCCTGACTCAGAGGGGACAGTTTTGCTCTCAGCAATGCAATCAGCTGCACTAAGCCCCTGGAAGGGACGGGCTGCCCTTCTTGCAGCCCCCAGGAGAGCTGCACGAGAGGGCTGGGAAGCGGCCGGAGCTGCTTGCTGAGCTCCCTGAGCTCACGCCAGGACATGACGGGATGTGCATGGACGGCATGGGCTGGGACTTGGACCGGGGGCAGATGCTTGGGGACAAAATCCAGAGAGGATTTGGAGCTGAAATCCTGAAGCTGTGGCTCCTTAGTTTTTCTCCTTATTCCTCACAGGACAGTTATGTTCTCTCTCAGCTCACCACGTTGCCTCTGAACTTAGGAGGCCACCTAGGGCTGGCCCTGGGCTTAGCAGTGAGCTTTTCCTAACCTCATCCCTCCCCATGTCGTGAGCAGACCCCAGCGAGGACTGTGGCTTGTTTGGGGGATTTTTTGCTTTGCCAACAATTTTAACACTGTCACAACTTAAGGACCCCATCAGAGTTGAAAGTGCATCTCTGTCGTTCACCCTGGGACAAATTAGAGGCCGGGGAGCTTGGTAGCTTGGTTTACATCTGGGACACGCAGCCACATCTCCCAGTCACCCAACCCAGGCCTGGCCTCCCCCCAGAAACATCCCTTTCCGCGCTGCTTCGATCCGGAGGCTCTCGAGCTGGTGCCAGGGGGCTGAGTACGAGCCGGGCAGGCCGCGGGGTGCTGGCGGTGCGGAGGTTTTGCTGGCACAGCGCCCTGGTTTCCATCAGGCAGCTGCACGACGGGCTCTGGGCACGGAGTCGCAGTGCCTTACACGGCCAAGAGAAACACTCGGAGCTCCCGGCCCCTGGATGCCCATGTCGTGAGTAAACCGGGGCGGGGGGGTGAGGCGTCCGGCCCTGCGTGTGCGTGCTTCCATGGGAAAGGACTGGGAAGCGTGGAGCCCAGCCTCGTAAGTGGTGTAAGGGAAGGAATAAACTGAGCTGAAAAATGCCGGGGAGCCGGAGGTCATCCTGGCACAGCTGCTGCTGCGTGGGGAAGCAAAGCATGGGAAGGAGCAGGCGGTTTCAGACTCTTCGGCTTCACTCCTTCACGCTTTGTTCCCTACCACCCCCAGCCTCTTTTTCTGCACATGACCTCTCCTCCTTAAATAAATTCCCAGAGCCTCTTCAGGCGGCTCTGTGTCATCACGGGCTCTCCCTGTGAAAAAGGGAGAGCTTGGCCGTGAGTGTCCTGCTGCTCTCAGGTCACTTTGCACCTCTGAGCAGCAGAAAGTGGGGCTGGCAGAGCTGCGAGCCTGGCAGCGTCTTTATTTAATCATGTCATTACTGGCCTCTAGCAACACAAGGGCTCTCAAAAGTGTCTGACCATTGCAGGAAACACGAACCCTTAATTTATCAACAGGTATTAGACACAAAGTTTACTTTTTGTGCAGGACAAAGAAAACTAAAATTTGCACCCTCCCAAGGCAAGAACAACATACACAACACAACCCCTTGCTATGCACTTGGACAAGGCGCTATTTGGGATGCCTTCATCAAAATCTGTGCTGTCATCCTCATAACAACCTGCTTTCCTTTTAATCTAATTGCAGTTAATAGGAGCTTGGACTCCCTCCAGAGAAAGAGCAGTTGCTGTTGCTTCAATATTTATAAACTAACATTTTTCTAGCCAAAAAACAAACTCTTGGAAGCCAGTGATCAGGAGCCATCACACATGAGCATGCCTGTTAGCAGCTTGTCCCTGGGCCTTTCCCTCCCTTTGCTGCACCGCAGTCATTTTTGCCTTCTCACTGTCAGGATGATTACAGATTTCCCTCTAGGTGTATGCAATGGGCAGATTTTGGAAGAGCTTTGATTAAATTGAAGGGCCAAATTAATAGGTAGATACGCATGGACTTAGAAAGGACTAGATAGCCATTTCTTGCTTCACATAAGATGTAGATTTTCACCCAATGTTCAATTCATTGACAGCATTTATGGGCAGTTGAACTTTTCTTCTGGAGGTTGCATTTAGGTTTCCAAAGGAAACATTTCCCCAGGGCTATTTACATGTTTATTGGGGAAACCATGTGGGAAAGCAGCTCTGGAGTTGGCTGCATGAACTGACCCCATCCACTCCCAGAGAAGCAAAGTGCTCGCACTGCTCTGTGGACGCACACACAGTGAGCCACGTTTTGGAGATTTAGGCCATGGTACAAGTGTAGCAAAAATAATTCCGGAAAGAAAAGGTACTTGTACTCATGTAGGTTACTGTCAAGAAAAACATGGCTGTCAGGGTATTGTTTATAGTGTTGACACCTCAGGAAATCAGAAAAAACATCTTCCAGCTGAAAGCCAAGTGGAAGGAAAGAGTCGAATCACTGCGGTTGAACTGGGGCCAGAACATTGTAGTGTTTATGGGAAATGCAAAGATCACCACGATAATAGAGTTTAGGGATAAGGAACCAACCACCTTTCACCTCAGGTGCTCTGTGCTTCTTCCCCTCCCTTTGCGGAGGAGTCAGTATCTCCGTGGGAGCACCTGGTGACCGCAGGACCCCAAAATCCTGAATCCATAACTTGAGGCAGCGTCGCGTGCTTTGTGCTGAAGGTCAGCCAGAGCCTGCCAGCACCAGGTTGGCCTAGGGCTTGCTTCTCCACCTCTGAGTGGGCGAAGACACCGCAGGCTCCTCTCTAAGGGCTTATTCAAAGCCTGCCCTTCCTGCAGCAACTCAGCGCTGCCCCAGGGCCTTCACCACACGCCTAGAACAGGCTGGGGCACATACCTGAACTCCTCATCCAGCAACCACAGACACCTTAACAATGGAGCAGCAGCCTCGTGTCCGGCCTTTCCCATCCTTTCTGAAACTATGAACGCAACACATTGGACACCAGAACTCAGGGCTTTTAAGTGCCAGGACAACAGCTAATAAAACTTTGGCTACCAGTCCTGAGAAGTTTCACTGTACAAAACCAGAGTCTGCCTTACACGAGCTCTGCTTGCTGCACATGCAGCTCTTCTGCTTCTTTGAATCTGAGCACAGGGGTTCAACTGATGCAAGTGACCAACACGTACTGCAAATTTTATTTTTATTTCCTTATTACAGAAACTAAATTAGCATATGCCTACATCTTGATTAAAACATTCACCACTGCAGAAAAAAAGCATTTTATTCTCTAAAGCACACCTGTGAACACAGAACAAATTCTAATGTCAGTACATAAAAGCTTCTTCTTAGTGCACCTCTTCATTGCAGTTCCTGCAGTTCCTCCATTAGTTGTTTGTAAAAATTATTACACCTTAGGTAATTATATATGCTTGCGTTAAGCTTTGCAATCCACTTTTAGGAGTCAGTTAAGAAGCTAAATTAAAAAGGGCCCATTAATTTGCTTTATTTACACTTGCAATGGCTAAATTTTAAATATGCTACAGTCACTCCCAGCACTGGCTCCCAATTCAAAGGATTAGTACACTCCATGATTTCCTTTATCTGCTTTATAGAAGGGATTAAGTTGCCCATACCTATAGCTCCATGGTACCTCAGCCAGCTACATGAAGTACCTTGTCAGAAATAAACTTGCTGACATATTTTAATAAAAAGACAAATGAGAAACTTGAGCTTTAGGAAGAACCAGAAGGTCCTTGGTTTTATGCTGCAGTTGCTGTCAACTACAGTAATGTGGGAGCAGTGCCACAGTCCAGAGCAGTTGTCTGTGCTATCCTTGTAGAGATATTTATGTTTGCTTCCCAATTCTTCCTCTCTTTCACTGCCTCTCCCCGCTTACTGTTTTTTTGTTAAATCATAAAGAAACACTCAGGCAAGCTTCTGAACCATAACAACATACTTGCGAGGGGAAAAAATGATGCTGCTACAGGGAGATGTCTTCATGTTAGTCCTTTGCTGCGGGAAATGCAGGTTACTAAACCACAGGGCAGCCCTTACCTAAGACTACAGTTATCAGGAGACAGGCAGAGTTGTGTTATCTGAATAAAGATTGATCTCTTCCTCCCAATTTTACGCTCTATGACTGGATGCAGGTCTTGTGGCAACTGAGAAACTGTTGTAGAGATTGAGAAATTTGATGCACATGCAATTATCTGTTCTTACATACTTTCAAAACCAGAATGGAAGGAAGAAGTCTCTGTGAAGCAGGTAGGTCCAAAAGTTTTTTTTTTTCTTACACAATAAGGTAGATTACTCAGCACATTCCAGATTAAAAAAATTACAGTAAACATTCAGTAACTGGAATGCATATAATATACAAGTACCATTACATTTACAAAGCTGTCCAGGACAATTTTTCTTTCTAGAATAAGCATAAAAAAGTTACAAGCTAATTCACAATAACTTTAGATACAATGCTTATTAAAATACATTGATGTTAATCATAAAAATATTTTACTATTTACATGTACATTGTATAAACCTTAACAATAAGAATATGCCCTATTTAGGATGCCTTAAATGAATATTTAGGCAGATTGGCCCATTTTATAGTGCAGTATCCCTGTTTTGGTCTTCACACCATGAAGCTGTATCAGATTCACAGTATCTTAGCTAGTGCTTTGCTAAAAGGCTTGAACTTTCTAATATCTGAGAAACATTCATTACAAAGAGCCGGTTTTGTTTCCGCTTTGTTTCTTGTTAAATCCTACCCCCAACAGTTCAGGGCACTCCGCCTGGCCTTGTGCGATCTGGTTGCACTTCCAGATAAGGCTGTAATTCATCTCATCTGTTATCACGCTGTCTTGCTTGTAGTCTGGATGCTGTGCGATGAACTCCCTCATCCATCGGGCAACTGTCATCAGCTCTCCTGTGGGCAAGATCAAGTCAAATTTCACAGTTTATACATCTAATTTAGCAGTAAAATGTTGTGTGCGTTACATACACAATTAGTGAATAGCCTATATTTTTAGGAAACATGCTACTATGTGTATTTTTTTGCTATACAATGACTAAACTTCAAGTATACTTCAGCTGACGTATCACTGGTAGTCCAAAACTCATTTATCTGGTATGATCTTCAAACTTTCAGGTCTTTTAATGAGACAGAGCAGAGAGAAGTGTTACACCCAGCTGCTGCAGCAGGTGCTACTGCCTTCTATTCAGGGTCAGGAGGTGACACCCACTACTTGCTGGAGACCTGACTTCTCAACGGGTAGCAGCTGGAGGCCAGCTGGATGCCAGTGCTTAGGGAGCTGAACCTTGCTCCTGCACACAGCATTTGTAAAGAAACCTCCATCAATACAAGTTTAAGGTAACTCTGAAGGCAAGACATTGCTTGAAGAGCCTAGCTAAACCTTTACTGCTCCCTTATTAGAGAGGAAAGAGCCGCAGGCTTCTACTACACTTTTTTTCTTAAGAATATTATTAAAAAACAAAAGGAATCAAGTTAGGGAAAGCAAGGATGAACAAACAAGAAGTAAAAAGCATTCTGTGTGTCATCAGTACTGCCTGAAGATATCCTATGAATGGTTTTGAACAGAGGCATACTAACAGAAATCAGAAAAAATATGAAAAGAACAAGAAAGGGAAGTGTAATATGTAAAGTTATTAGAAATAAAAACATCCTCAGAAAACAAGTCATGTTTTTAAACAAATGAGGCCAATGTTATACACTTCTATATAAAAAAGGGGCAGAAGAAAAATATGCAAGGCACATTTGGTGAAGGCACTAAAAACTTGAGAGAAAGCTCTCAAACAAATCAGAAGCAGAGGGCTTGCAAGAAAATCAGCGAGACCAGGAGATGAGCAGAGCATAACAAGAGACGTTCCTGCACTCCCAATGCTGTGAAGCTCATACAACACTGACACCTGGTGGTCACACAGCCCCACCACTCTCCACCGAAAATAAATGACATTGTTTCTACCTGTATACATCTGTATAAAACTGTATAAACCCTCACCTTGAACTCCTCATGAAGTTCTCAAAAAGAGTATACTAGAATCAGGAAAAAAGCACCACAGACTGACAAACATTTAAGACGACTTCCAAGTGGAGAAAGAAAGGACAAAGAGTATCTCAAGGGTGGAAGAGATTTTGAGAAGCTTGCACAGTCATCAACATTGATCAAAAGTGAATAGAAAAACATTATCATCCCACAGTGCAGGAACCAGAAGCCCTATAATGAAGTTACTGGGAAGCACATTTAAACATAAAAAATAAAGGAAGTAATTTTTTTCAAAGAGCATATAATAAAATTGTGGCATTTTTTATGACTTTGTGGGAACAAAAATATAGTTGCTTCAAGATGGATCTGACAGAGATCATGGAAACCATGTTTGTGAGCTGTTATCATGCACCATGCTAACTGTGCTACCTATGCATAAATACAAAAATGCCCACACTGCAGACAGCAAGAGCTGGGAGAGCAAACCAGGACAAGGATAACCTGCTGCAGCTCATCCTAACACTACTTTCTGTACCACTTGGTGGTGGTCAGCAGCTGCTGCTTGCCTAGCACATCTGTAGTCTCACGGAGCGTGGTGACAGTCACAGAGCAGCTACACTGAGACCAGGCAGGGCAATTTCTAACCATGCTGTGAGAAAAGCAACCAACAAACTATGCCAGGGCAAGGTTAAATCCTCAGCAGCTAGGGCACCAGCATTCAACTCTCACAAGTGCTCTGTGTTCACCATTTGAGGAGAGTAGTATGACAAGTGGCTGTTCTGTGGACATGTCTCATGCTAGACAGCCTGCAATTCAGAACATTTGATTTCAGATCAATGGTACACCAGAAAAATCCAGAGCTCATGATTGAGAAATATGGCACAGTAACATGACGCCTAATGCTTCTTATTCCGTGTATTGTTGTTCTTATGAAGCTTTACTTAACAATTATTTCAAGCTTAGAGTTAAGATATACACCCTAGAAGATCTGTTCTCACACCTTCTACATCTGTGTAAGTCTAAGAGGGTGACTTCTGCAGTGTCCACAGCTTCACATCACAAAGCAGAGGTTCTTTGGAATGGGAACACCTGTGACACAGGGCTGAGCCTGGGCAATTAGCTCTCCACAAACAAAAAGGAAAAAAAACTTTAAGACCATTCCTTTTTTTTTTTTCCCCAGCAGCATTTTTCTTAATGAAAAATATTAAAAGAGAAGTACTTTTGAAGCATTGCTACTTTGAGGGTTGATGTGCCTCAGATGTTTTCTACCTGCCAGCTTCTTTCCTCCCTCTCAGTTAAGCCAGGCATCAAATCCCTGGGCTGTGTTATCTGAGGGACAGAAGCCTCCTGCAAACAAGCAGCCTTAGGACACAACATTTTCAGTGAAAGCAGGAATTAATTATAACTTGTTAGCATTCTGAAGTGCTACTAAAGTATTAAATTACCAGGCAAGGAAGCAGCCTGATTTTCATCTCACCTTTAAAAATGTCTTTAGGTAGAAGGCTCTACAGCAATTTCCAAGAATTAAAAAGGAATAAAACATTTAAACCAATGAATGCATCATAATAAAAATCTGTGTCTCGACTTTTAAGACTAAAACTAACTGTCTAGATAAACTTACAGCAAGAAAGGCACATGAGAGATTTACACATCAGTATAAAGCTGCCACGTGCCCGGTTTTGAACGAAATCATTTAGCCTGCATCTCCTATTCAGGATACTGTTGCATTTTAAGGAGCAGCAGAAAAAGCCATTATACCACCTATCTGGGAAAACACTACAGCAAGAGAAGGGCATAGAAAGGGCCTGGTTTACTTTGACCTGAAGGCGTTTCACTACTTCCAGAAGGGCTCTCTTATTGGGGAGCTAAAGACAAGGCCCTGTGCTCTGGCATATCAGAGCTTAATCCAACTTAATGCAAGCATGTTTAGGAACTGCACCAATTACCTGGCTATCAGACCCAGCCTCATATACCCTTAAAACATTTGAGTTCCAGGAAAAAAGTAGTTTATGTACAAATTACTACAACATAGACAGTACACTGGCAAAAGCAGCAGTGCTGAAAAAAGTCTTGGAGATATAATTGCAGCTTCAGGGGTAGTGTAACAATTACTCCTGATTTAAGTCCTAAATAGATCATGAAACATTTATGATCAGAATTAAACAGGACCGAATATAAGCCAGAGAATGCATTCCAGTCCTTTGCTCCCATGATTCCACACCTACCCAGACAGCCACAGTTGCCACCAGTTTTACCAACTGATAATTAGAGAACATCCCAATTATTTTCTAAGTAGAAAAATGCCAGGAAAACAGGTGTCTGAAAGTGTCAAACATACCAGATGCTCTCTTTTTTATTAACTTCAGGTAGTTTAGGATGGTGCATCTTGTGTCCACGTCCACTTCCATGTTTTCAAGGTAAGAATTCAAAATTGGGATCAAACCAGGAAAGACTCCCTCCTGTATAGGAGAACACAGTTAACATGAAACATGGTTGATCAGATTTCTGAGAGGATGGAGAGGAGGGGTGTGTTCCAGGTAGAAGAGGTTATGACCTTCCCATTGATAATTGTATCGATGCTCATTAAGATGTACTCTTCTGTGTCTGTGCCTGTCCCATTCTGCGCAGAGCCACATCCATCCACGACGACATTTCCACCTTTATAAGTGACAAAGGGAAAGGAAGAAGCAGTTAGAAGGCAAGAGATACACTAATCATCAACAACTATGTTGCCAGATCACTCGCTGGGATACCTTTGCAAATATCCTTTCTGAAGTAAAACATTCCCTGCCGGACAGCATCTCTTTTCTGGGCCACCTTCATATTTTCATCCACCTGGAAAAAGAAATATTGCAGAGATTTGTGAAATTTTTGAAAATTAGGATTCTCCAAACCCTCACATTTTGGTCTCATTAACTGAAATATCCCCTATGTTTTTTATTATCTCACCCCGGAAGGCTAAACTCTGGACATTTTTTTTTTTTTTTTATTATTTCCTGTGCAAAACCATAAGGAGATCACATTCTATAAATGTAGGCCTTCAGCAGAAAAGGTAATAGTATAATGTAAGTACATGCCATGCTAAGCTTTTAAGTTGGATTGAAAACAGGCAACGGGTTGCATCCCATCTGAAAGTTCTTTGCATATTCAGATGCAACCTAAATGAGTACAGACAAAGAAAACTGCCACTTTCCTAGCCATAGTTTGTTGCTTTTATTAACAAAAATCAATGAAATCTTTAGAAAAGTTAATGCTGAATTTAAGAAAAAAAACCTTTCAGAAACAGAATCCCAGTAACACTGTATGAGAATTATATCTATCCCATATCTGAACATCTGTTAGAACTACCTTATAGCTCTTTATCTAAGTTACATACTTCCCAAGAAGTCTACAAAGTACAAAGCACTGCTCATAAGTTTCCAGACAGATTTTGTCCAAGTTTTTTTTTAAACAGGAATGTTCTTGGAGAATTAACAGCACTTTGCTTTGGGACACTAACTTTACTATGTTGTCTTTAGAAGAAGGTATAAATTTGCTGAATTCTTTGCTCCACCTCTAATGGAAATAAAATCTTAACTCTTGCCTTTCAAAGCTTTGTTTGTCAAAAGCCTGGTTTTGTTCATGCTGTATTATGAAATTTGTTTACACAACTGCTAACTGAAATACAACAGTACTCAGACAGAAAAGATCAGCATGAGATTAGCCCCATAAACCTTTATTCTTTTAATTATAAGAGGCGGGTTTACCAATGGTTGTGCAATTTGGTGTTGCATTACCTGCTACATTGCTTGGCAGGCTCAATTTGGTTTCTCCATCAAAAACTCTTCATATTTTTCCTGCACCCAAGCTCTTTTTTGCTCATAACTCGTGTTCATTAGTTAAAATATTTTTGCACTTTTAAGACATCCCACTTAACATAACTGTGAACTATAAGTGCTAATCTACTGTATTAAGTATGAAATCTGAACTCCCCAACATAAGGAAGAGAATTTCTCTTTGTGGTGTTAGTATGATTTCATACAGAAATAGATCGTAACAGTAATCATACCATATATATATATATATATATATATATATATATATATATAGTTGTTAACTGGCAACTTCATTTTTTTTCTCAGTTTTGGTTAAAACCATTAGAAAAGCATCAGGACTATTGCTACGCCACAGCCAGCATTAGCAGTGTTTTCTGTTACACAGCCTGTCAAAAACCTTCTGCTGTACAAGATCTTCTTTAAAGTCATCTATAACATTGCAGGACTATGCCTTTAAAAAGGGATTTTCTGGTCAGGTGCCTCCGGAAGGCGTACAAAGACGGTTTCCTTCAAAACAGTTCAGCAATTGTGAGGCCGATATTAAGGAAAAAACAAATTTTGCATGGCTAGTTGTAGTTGTGACCAGAATCCAGAGTATCTGTTTTCAATACTGAGTAACGCTGAGTGTGCTCAGCTTCTTTCCCTCTCCCCCAAACAAAAGCAAAATATAAATAATGTGAGATATAGGCCATAGCCACATTAAAATAAATAACTAAGGAAGTTATAGTTTTAGCCTTCACAGATTACTTTCCCCACCCATAAAATGGTGGAAATATCTCCTTTCCCATTCTTCAAGCAGATTTGTGACAATGGGCTTTTATCAACATTTCTGTAGTAGTCTGACATTGTTGGGCACCACAGAAATTCCACCAGCAGCAGCAGGCAGGGCTTCAGGGAAATATTTTGTTCAGCTTTCACTAAATAAGCATGAAGCCTCACAGCAACCAAATAGGAAAAGAACAGTACTGCATGGCTACTGCTCACTGAAATGCAGCAGCAGGTCTGCAGAAAGAGTTTGCAGTTGACATGAAGGCAATGGCTTAATACTTTTGTGAAAAAAAGAATGACAAACTCTCCACAGACCTCTTTAATTTGGCAACTGTGATAACATTTCTTCAGCAAAGCTTATACACTATTTATTCCTTCCTCCCTTTACAGAACTTGCACTAGAACAGATGCCTGAAGTTTAACTTGTTATTTTTGCCCTGGATGCAAGACAACAAGATAAACTTAGGAGGAGAGCTAAAGTACCTGGCCACCAGCACTAGATGGCACAAATGAACATTATTACCGGAAGAATAAATTTAATACAATGCCAAATTTTTAAATATGTAAGTCAAAAGGAATAAGTGAAGAAAGAACAAGGAGGCATGAATTTGTATAAACTGCTGGAAAGGTGGATCTTGGTGGGAAAGCAAACATGGAAAAGTCAAGTTTGGCAACCTGAAAAAAATTAATTTTATAATTTATGTTGAAGTACCTTTGGCAAACATATTTTGGCTTTGTGTAAGAGGAACAAAGATAAGATGCAGCAAATTTTCTTACTGCTAAAAGCTGAAGGCTAAATTCAGATTATTTCTTCTAAGAACAGGTAAGACATTCTTGCTTCTGATAGCTTAAAAATTTCTGTGAACAGTTTATAAATAACGGCCCATCAGACATTTTTAAGGGAGCCATAAAATGCAAATGGGAGAAAGCTAACTATCTGTCTGTAAAGCCTAACGCCATTAGATAGCAGTATTTTTTAATATAGTGTAGAAGTGAAGTTGATGCCAATTATTGGTCCAGATTTAAACTGATTGAAAGATAGAAATCATTGTTCTGTAAGTGTACAAATATTAATTCCTAGCTTGCAGAGGATAGCAATCAACTGGGATGCAAATATTTTGCAATTAGCTCTAGTACATCTGACCTTTCACACCTACCTTGGACAAAGGAATGAGAAAATCCAGTTTGTATGACAGAATCACTCTGGTTAGCAGTACCACAAACACAACGTATGCAGAGTTTTCGAAGTCTGTTAACTGGACCTAGACATGAAAGGATTAGAGACTGAATTACTCTAGTGGGAACATGCTCATAGAATTAGATGGCTATCTGGGAGAGTTTAAAAGTGTGACTCAAGCACTCATGTTGATACTTGTATTCACACACACATACACACACACTACTAGCAGAGATGGTGATGTACATGCTGGAATCAAGGCCTTCAAATGCACAACGCAGTGCACACACTTCAACAAGCTCAACCTTTTAATCCAATGCCAAAGCACACTCGTGTTTCAAAAAGGCTAATAACTTGCATCTTTGGGCTCTCTGTGTAATTACACATGCAGAACAGCTTTTAAGTTTCTACTTAGGGGATTCAGTTCAGACAGCTCTGAAATAGACAGCTATAAAATAAAAGCACTTACAAAACACGAAATAGTGACTGTGGAATTGTTCAGTACCAACAGAAGTACTGGATAAATAAGGTCCCTGGAAACTAAATGGCTCTTTGTTTGCAATAGCTTTAGTACAAGCCTAATTCCTTTCCCCATCACCCCAAATCCATTAGCATGCTTTGCTGTGCTACAGTGGATTCTCCTGTCAGTTGCATTCCCACAGTCCGTGTCTGATTAAACACTGCTGTCCAGTTCATTTGCGTCTGGCAATTCAGAGGGGAGAAAGCACAGCATAAGTAATAAGGGCCTGATACTTGATGACAGCAGCCCCATACTCTTCCACTTAAAAGTGAACATGTTTTTGTGTGTATTGACTCTTTCCTTACCTCCATAGGCCTGAATTCCACTCTCCATCCTATATCCGAATTTGGAGGAGGTGGCTTAAATCTCATTGTCTGCCAGTTTGTAGACTGTATGTTCTGCAAAGCACATGAAAAAAATCTGTCACAGTCTAGATACGCATCAATCTATAAGATCAAAGCAAAATGAACAAACAACTACTGTCTTAGTTGTTTCCCAAGAACAACTCATCAACTTCATAGAGAAATGCTTCCAAACTGAGTTGCTCAACTTTCTAAAAACTATAATGTAACTACTCATCCAAGAAGCAGATATGCTGTACTTTCTCATGCTATTTTGTTTGAGGATTACATAAAAGATACTAGGATGTGTTGAGATTATGCTGGCCTTTCCATAAGAGATCAATTCATCCAAATGTAGAAATACACAATATTACTATAGTTATTACTTCATAATCATTTTAAGATTATACAGATTTTAATAAATCTATGTAAGACACACACACGTGAATAAGAGAAGTCATGCAAAACATTTTTCAGGAAGTCACAAAAAATGCAATTCCCCATAACAATGGGGATAATTAGTTTGGGCCCTTTGTATTTTGTTGGCTATAAAATATGCTATCATCTTCTTCAAAGTAAATGGTGAAACAAAAATATGTGCTTACAACTACAAAGTCACATGCTAAGCAAGTAGCTTAAGTGAAAAACTCCAGAAAAAATATTCTTAGCTAACAGTCATCCTCCAATTAAGCAGTACTATAAAACATTTCACACACACACCTCTACATCTATTAAATTCCTCTAAATCAGATACAACCTCAAAATGATCAGATTCATTTGCATCATCAAGATGTATTTTCTCCTCAAACAAAGTCAGTGGGTCTCGAATGAACAAGTGTGCAATATGCTGTGCCAAAAGGTGGTCAATACCTACAAAATGAAAATTCAGAGAAACATTTCAGACATTGCAAAGCAGGCTCTTGGAAACAACTTGATTTATAAGAACCAAAAATGAAAAATTCCAATTCCGCAATACTATCTTAACCCACCACATCCTGTTAAGGTTTAAATGATTACTTTGGGAAGGAAGGAAATGATTAAAGAGAAAAATGAACAAGATCTCCTTTGGAAGTGGCAACTGGATATTGGCGTGGCTGCCATTCTTTCCGTTTTCTGATGCAACTCTGTGCCATGTTTCCTAATGCAGTTCTGCTCTCTCCACAAAGATAAACATTAGTACACAAAACACTAAGCTTCCTGAATTGGAATTAGGGACAGTTTCTAATTCTATTTATTTATTTTTAATTTCTCAATACCACAATGCACAGATACTTTGAGTAGAATCACTATCAGGGAAGCATGATCAAAACAAAAAGTTAAATGTAAAAATATCCCCACACACTGCAAGCATAATTCTAAACCTGCTCATAATGAAGCAAACACTTACCTTCCTTTATTAGGTGCTCGTAGATATCTTTGTCTATTGTCAAATCAATGTCATTGTATTTCTCACCACATTCAGATAGATAACTGTCTATGGAATCATATCTGGATTTACTGATTCTATAATGGTTGTTCTTCAGTGGCTATATAATTTAAGAATACAATATTTTAACAGCTTGTTAACAATGTTACCTAAGTTTTGCTCACTAATGACACTTATGTGAGAATTATTATCCTGTTTAAAATATCCTACAGCCTCAATTAAAATTATTCAAAGTATGAGTCTTAAATGGAAACATTTTCCTGACGTAACAGAACATTATTACCCCGACTGTCTGGAAAGCATTATTATACCTATTGCAACACATACTGAGGCAGTTTCATTCACACATTGTTAGAGATATTCTTAAACTGTGTAGCTCAAGAAGTATTTCTAGTATTTTTGTTTGCTTGTTTTTAATTCCCTAAGTGTCCTGGATGCCAATTCCTGAAGTTCTAGCAACTGTCTCTCTTCACGTAGCTCCAGTTTACACTACTAGATTACTCAGCATCACCCACTATTTAACTCAAAGCAATTTTTGCCTTTTGGGCTTAAGCACAAAATGGAAATTTTAAACACAGAAGGACAATTTTTAGCAAGCTGTGGAGGAGTGAAAGTGGAGTTTTACTGGAATTCCATATCTAACTGAAAACATATTTGCTAACATAAGCTGTACAACCAAGATGACTGTTTGCACCATCTCTCGTGCATTTACCACAACGACTGCCACATTCCCTCATTAGGGATTCTGATGACCACAGGCAGAATTTGATAATAAAGGAAGTTAAAAAATTTTTGCCTGGAAAAAAAAAAAAGCCAACACACAACAAAAAAAATAATGGACACCTACTACTTAAATCACTTACCTCCAGCCCCCTCTCTTCTCGTGTTCGATCATCTACAGATGCAGAGATTACTCCCCAGCGACAATCAATATCAGACACATAGCCTCTGTAGAACGGAGATGCAGCACTCAATGCCATCTGAAAGAAAATAGCCTGATATGAACACAAAGGACAAGCCAAGGAACCAAACACACTATCTTAATCCCATAGGGAAGGGAAATTTGCCAGTCCAGAAGTAACTGAAGTACACACTACAGTTTGGCACGTAAATGAAGCCCATACCACAGTCTCTCAATTGTTATCTCCATAAAATGCCTAGACGAAAGGTCAGTATTACTGACACAACAGCTTATGCTTTCCAAATGCACTACCTCTACAGATGAGCATTTAAGGAACAGAAAGTTGATACAGGTAGAAGCAATTGCGTAGGAAAAAAATCAGCAAGGATTGTGCTTGCACACTCCTTTAATCCCTGGAAGTTCACTTGGCAAACATTTTATTTCTGTTTAGCTTATCTGCCAGGCATCTTAGCAACAGAGCTGGAATACACCTCACTGACAGCAGGAGTTCTTCCTGAACAGGGCAAAACTTTATAACACCCATTTCCACATGTTTACAAAAGGGACAGAAGGTGAATCTATTATATGAGACCAAAGCTAAAGTTTTTGAAAATTGTTTAAGGAGCGATTTTAACAAGTTTCCATGAAAGATTCTCCAAAAATTGTTTCTAAAGTAATTCAACTAAAGTCTTGTGCATGTGGGAAGCAGGGTAGAGGTGGAGAAACAGACATCTTCTGCTTTGTGGTATCACACTTTTCTTTAAGGAAGACTGTAACACACAAATCCACATGCAATCCAAAGTGATAGCTCAGATACATTAAACATATTTCATCGTTAAATAAACCATACTGTTAATGTGACAACATAGTAAGAGACACCAATGCTTTCCCCAGAGTATTAAATTTGTTGCTAGTATTTAAGCTCTTAATTCTGATTTTATTTTTCACACGTAGTGGCTTGCACATAACAAATATCTGATGTGACAGAAGTGCATTACTCACCACAATGGGACAGATTGTGGCTAGCTGATCATAGAGATACCTCGCTTCAGAAATGCTGCAAGCCTGGAATGTCACCTGATAGAGAGAGGAAGGACAGTTGTTGTAACAATTTTTATAATCTACCAGCAGCATTTATGTTACAAGGTTCTTTCCCCACACTTCCCACGTGTACTAAAGCATTTTATACCGCAGCACTTAGGCTGTGACACCAGATACATAAATACTTGCCAGAACCAAAGAAAACTGAGTTAACATTTACAATACACACGGGCTGATAATGTGCATTCAGGAAACAAGCCAGGAGCCTACTCATTTAAAACAACAGCCAAACTGCTGCAGATACAACATTTATTTTATGTGACAGCTCATCCTCTTTTAAAGAGCTGTCTTAATTTCAACATGCCTCTGTTTGATCCTGCAATTGAGAAAAATAAATATTTATGTGTCTACTGTAATATATATTGGGCCCCTCGCTACAAGAAGGACATCGAGGTGCTTGAGCGAGTCCAAAGAAGGGCGACGAAGCTGGTGAGGGGCCTGGAGAACAAGTCCTACGAGGAGCGGCTGAAGCAGCTGGGCTTGTTCAGCCTGGAGAAGAGGAGGCTCAGGGGCGACCTTATCGCTCTCTACAGATACCTTAAAGGAGGCTGTAGAGAGGTGGGGGTTGGCCTGTTCTCCCATGTGCCTGGTGACAGGACGAGGGGGAACGGGCTAAAGTTGCGCCAGGGAAGTTTTAGGTTAGATGTTAGGAAGAGCTTCTTTACTGAAAGGGTTGTGAGGCATTGGAACAGGCTGCCCAGGGAAGTGGTGGAGTCACCATCCCTGGAAGTCTTCAAAAGCCGTTTAGATGTAGAGCTTAGGGATATGGTTTAGTGGGGACTGTTAGCGTTAGGTCAGAGGTTGGACTCGATGATCTTGAGGTCTCCTCCAACCTAGAAATTCTGTGATTCTGTGATATGTTAAAGTTTTTAAAGAATACAGTTTTGCCTGTATTAGAGACCAGGATACAACAAAATGAAGCATTATTTGCATGAACTATTAATGATACGGAAGCTCTACCACACATAAGCCCCTGGGAAGCTATGATTTCTTAGCAACTTTTGGTGAAATTTGCTCAGGGCAGCATCAAACACAATCTCAACACAGATTTCAAATCTAGAGTCCCCAAAACCATATACATTATTCTTAATCTTGCACTGAAGTCCTCCTCATCTGCAAGTAAGCTTCAAAAAAATCCATATCCAAATCCTCCTGAGCTTGGCACATGAAGCCTGAATAAGGACAGAAGCGCAGCACTTTGTCTAGACACTCGCAGGGGACATCATCTTTCTCCCCATCTGGCAAGAACTGCGCCATCACTGCACATGATCCCAACTGAACTGATCAGGACATTTCTGACCTTGAAAACTCCTCCAGCCAAGTCACAGCCTAGGTGTGTAGTAAGAAAGAGACAAAAGGAAGTTTGCATAGTACAAACTCCAAAAATTAAGTGGGGAACACGTTTTTCTTCTAGTTGGCAATTAAGAATTAACAGTTAATATGTAAGCAGCTGCTTACAGAACCTACCAGCTTTTTCTCCATTCTCCCTTTGATGGTAACAAGGGTACTGAATTTGAATTCAACCATTGATTGTAAGGATGGTTAATAGTAAAACAGTATTCTAAAATTAGGAATTTAATATATTTTTAAACAATCTTGTACAACGACTGCAAGTTAAGGCTGGACTGCTTTTATTGGTCTTAAATAATAAAAAGAGATGGTATAAAACAGGCTGTATCAAGCTTAATAAATGTGTATAATATTGCCTGTTTTTACACTTTACTACTTATTCTCCCTAGTTTATCCAAATGGACAGGAAACCTTACTTAGCTGCAGTCAAAAACATTTTATCTATTCACCTTTTAAACTTTCTTAATCTCAAAGAGACTTGTTTGGAATGTGGTTATTTCTGGCAGTGCTGTGAAACAAGAGGAGCTTGGAGAATTTCCTTTCCCTAGGGACTTAACACTAGGCTCTTCCTCACTCTGCTTCGAAGTTAATGGTGACAACAGGCAGATTTTATTGACAGTTGCACACATTGCTACTGCCTAAGCCATCATCCCCTAGTATTGGGTTACTGTGAGAGAAATTATAGCAATAATTAAAAAAAATATAAAGCACAACAGCAAAAAAGATACTGAAAGAATTAAAGCACTCTCAATATACAACACCTGGATTTAAACTAAAGTTACCTGAACTCAGGCAAATGAATTAAAACAATAAAAATAGGGCATGCATTAACAGGAGAAAAAAAAAAAAGATAATATCTCCCAGTAAACAGTAAGAGCTACCAACATGGATTTGGTAAGTACATGGTACAAGAAGAAGGCCTCTCAGTAGGTAGTTAAAACTACGTATGAATGAGGAATGTGTACACAGGAGTTAACACAATTTGAAAAGAAAATTAAACTACAAAGAAGAGAGCTACTTATTTCCTAAAGATGGTCCAATAACTTCTTGTCACTTAGTTTTTCTTGGAAAAAGAAAAAAATAACTGCAAAACGTATAACCAAAAAACCCCACACATTTCTACTAGACAGTTTGTTTTCATTCCCACTGTGTCCTTTGGTTATGCCTGAAGAAAGAAGTCAGTGGAAGATCTTTCACACCTGAAAAATGCTGGAATTCCAACAGAAGGTACTTGATCAAGTGAATGGGATGTGACTAGTTTGAGCAAATCCTTGCAGTAAAGCATTCAATTACATTCAAAAATTAGCAGAAAATAAACCTAGATTTCCCGTTTTGCCATTCTGAAAACACATAAACTACATTAAGCTAGAGTGATTAGACATAAGGCAAATATTTAAAAAAAAAAAAGGGGGGAGGGGGGGAACAGCTTAGGGAAGATGACATTCAGTTACATCTCAAAAGCAGATGCGTTTTACCTGAAGACAGCAGTTGCCCATTCCAAAACCCATAGCATCCATATAGATATAGTCTGGTTTAGCTGCTTTTGCTGCTTCTCCATCATCGTTGGGAAATGTTTCGATAAATGGTGACGGCGTGTTCTTATCTTTAAATACTGGTTGGAAAACACAGGTACTCAGTAATTCAGAGTAACAGACTGAACATTTTTTTTGAAAAAGAGTAAAAGATACATTGGATTTACTCACTTGGTACATTTATGACAACTTTCTCTCCTCTTCGGTGCCGGATATTTCTTGTCAGTGTACTAGAACAAGAAGAATTCAATGAATCCAAAGGTTTATCTTTATGAAAATAGTTTCAGAGTTAATTTTCATGATTTCAGAATATCAGCTTCCTATTGGTTTTAGGCATTTTCCTTCAGGACCCTTCTTTCCCTGGTTTACAATAGACTATAACAGACAGCACTGAATTTTTCTTCAGTGAAGTCAAACCCACTTAGAGGAACTTAATAGGCAGAAGCAATAGGCTACTGACACGAAGAATACAAGGGTGAGTGAAAAGGCATTGCTTAGTTTTTAAACAGAATGATTTTGTTTCTCCTAAGTCCTATCCTTATAATCAAAGCTCCTCTTGAACTACATAAGTAGTAGTATAGTAGTATACAAGTAGCATACAAATAGTACAACACCATGCTCCATTCCAGAGTAACTTGGGTAAGTTCAGGACACCGAGATGTTTATGGAATAAAATGGACTGTGACATACCTGAATAGATTAACTAGATTAATATAAATAAAATTAATAAAATAAGATTAGCTAGATTAACTGTGAACAAAGAGGTTAATCATGGGATTTCAAACTGGAAACAATTTTGCAGTAGCATAATCAACACCTTTTGCCCCATAATGGCATGAACTACTATATAAAGTTACTTGAGCTTAAGTTTACTTTACGTCACTTTGACAGAAAATACATCATCACAACCATCTCTGTCCAAGTCCTTGGGATACATGCAACAACTAGCCATGTAGTTCTCTACTGCAGGTATGCCTACAATTCTATAGCACAGGAAAAAAAAAAAAAATCAGCTTCTCATTCAGACTCCTGAAATCTCCTGAAATGTTCTTACCTAAACCTAGGATGTTTATTGATGGCTTCATCTGGAAAGAAGAGAGACTTTGAAGCTCCTCCTTCTACTGGCGTTGGCTTATATTCTGGCACCGTAAATCCAGGACACCCTAACCTATATAACACAACAATGAGAGTCCAAGTTGTAATGAATACAGCCTGTGATTTTAAAAGGGTCAGATGACCTAAGATTAGGATCTCAGTATACAAAGGGAAAAAAAAAGATTTTAAAAAACTTGAATCTAAGTCTGATTACTTCTAAAGTGCTTTTCAAGACTGTTACCTGCCCATCTGGAATTGCCAGAAAGAGTTACCATAAAAAGGTCAGTGCTCGTCAACAGGTGGCTTCTGTGGTAGCTAAAACAGACTTTTTTTTTTTTAAAAAAAGTATTACTTTACCTCTGAAGACTAAATGCAGACCTTTTCAGTGGCCAAATCAGGAAACTGCACAGAATTATACAGAGTAAGTTCACATGTTTTAGGGCATTAGCACCTGTCATTAATAGTGACACACACTGGCATTCGGTGCCTCCGTTTCTCTACACATTGCTGGTTAACATTCAATTTCTGACATATGTAATTTACCCAGTTCTGCCCCCAACAAACCACCTCTGTTAAAAGGATGTACCTAACTAATAATTAGAGGTAGTTTCATGTGTTACACACAAGCAAATGTCACAGCAATTTGTGATTTTGGAACTTTGAAGAACCCCCTAATGGGAGAAACCTAGGAAGTAACAAAAAGTTACACCTATAAGGCATAAAATGCTGAGATATGAGCAAGAAAATCAAAATAAAACCCTCCTCTTTGGAGCCCTGGAGGATGTAACAACAGGAAAAAAATCCTGGAAAGTAAGTTAGCAAGACTCCAACGAACAAGGATTTGAATGGCAAAACAGTTAAAGGCAGAAATAAGAAATATGTTCTCCTTACACAGCCTAGGGAGAACAATCTCTGAGGGATGAAACTATGAATCATTCCAAAGATAAGTCATATGCAGACTGTACATATTATTTGCCAGCTTCTACTGAATGAAGTCTAATGTACTGTTTCCACAGTCATGTAAAAACTATTTATCTGTATCTCTTTAGTCCTTGTGAGACTGGATGTGAAATCTTTTATACAAAATTTATTGAAGTAATCTTTTTGTAATGTTGCAGGGCAAAAATGCAATTCTGCAACACACTGAAAACTGCTTAATATAGGAGTTTAAAAAAGCGCTCATTACTATAGACATATCTAGTCTAGTTCCCATAAAGAAGAAGCATAGTTTAATCAATAGAGAGATCTCAGGGTAGAATACATGAGGTATTTTGGTACCTGATTTTCGCTGCTAAATCACATTTTGTACTGTTCATGCTCTCGGCAACAATTCAGGGCGTTCTGTACTACACAAGAAACCAGCCAGTAAGGCCAAATGCTTCTGTTTTATTGCAGATTTTTTTTTTTTGAACTATTTTAGGCATAATTATCTTCATTCGTTTGACTGACCAGGCTAGTTCAAATGAACACATTAAATCCCCCCTCAGAATTATGTTTGAAAATCACAAAGTTCAGTTTCTCCTAGGCAATGTAGAACATCCTGAATGTACTTTTTCAAGAGTCTCCTTACAATAAGATGAAATCTACCCTTTGTAAGGATGTTATGACCTCAGGAAAGGTGCATTCCTTTCTAGATTCAATAAATACAGGACTATAGAAGCTTTACATCTCCGTTTTGTAAAGGTAATCACATTCCTTTTCTACTGTGTTCAAAATAATAAAAGGAAGTATGCATGTGCTTCAGTGAATATGTAGTATTAAAAAATAGATCAGGTTAGCCAAGTTTTATAGAACTGCTATTTATAAAGATCAAAGCTTGGAAAATCAGTAAATGGAAACCTTTACCATATCAACTCAAGATTGCAGGCTACTCTGCATACTATACTTTGTTATGAATAATCAGGTTTTCTCTCCTACTGCAAAACCATCATAGATTAGAAGCTTAAAAATATAAAAGATGCAGACTTATTTCTGTCTCACAGCAATAAAAAAAATCAGAAGACATGACTGGAACATTAACTATTTTAGTGGAGTCATATTTTGCTCAGTTTCATTGTACTGTTTAGCTATACAGTAAAAAAGCATATATGGAAAATAAGGAGACGGTGTTACACTTCTCAAACAACAATCTCACCTTGGAAAAGATGTCACAGTGCAAACGGCCTCATTTTCTTTCAGCACAGAGGCAGCCTCTTGCCTCCTTTTCCTCATGTTGTCTTGTACAGTGTTGAATTCAGACATGGTTCCTCCATATGGCTGCCCAGGTGTCCCTTCAATCATATAGCTTCCATATTCTGGTCGCCAGAGCGTTGGGTGGCTTTAAAAAATAAATAGCATTATTTAAGTATTTATGCAACTTCAAAAAAGATAGATTAGTATAAATTTCAGACAAAGGCAACTTGTAAGAAAAACCTCCAAAAGCTGATTATTTGGTGGAGTAGAGTGGTACAATGTACCTTCAAATGGATGGAATCACTTGGAGACAGTTGAGAGAAATTAAGGTACAATTTTTCCACCAGAAGTGTTGTATAATGTAGTAAGCAGAAACTGCCTGGGCTGACAGCTTCAGTGTCTGTCTCAAACTTTGTTTCTTGGGGTTGTAACATGCTACAGAAAAAGCCAAACAAATTATGCTCCATTTCTTATTCCTACTGCCTGTGGAAACCTGGTCAGATTTCACAAATTTATTGGGCTAATAAATGAAATCAAGTTTAAACACACCATTAACCCCTGAAAAGCATCTTTCTTTCCTGACAAGCCACCCCACCTCCATGGAGCACAAAGGCAGAACAGCATTGTCCCTACACTCCTCTGTACATGAATAGTTTGAAGCACAAAGTCTTAAAAGAAGAGAAATTGCTTCTTGTAGGCTTTCAACAGCTCCTCTACCCTGGAAGAAAAACAGGAAAGCCTTGCTGGATACCAGGCGTTCCTAGCAAGGAGCAGACAGGCCCAGGGCACAAAGGCCTTTTATCACCACAGCAGTTTCTCCAACTTCCTGTAAGCTTCTGGCTCTCTTCAGCCAAAACACTTCAATATCTCTGGTCTCATTCCTCTGCTTTGGAATAATACATCTGGTGCCATGAATTAGAAGGAAATTTGCAGTTCCCTGGCTAGCTGAAGTAGGGATATGATCCACTTATCACTGCAAACTCCACAGGAGAGGATGGGGAAGAACTGCCCTGCCACCTTACGCCCAGCCTTCTGCCAAAAATGGGACAGTGTTCCTACAGATAGCAGCTCTCTTTACACAGACCTCATTCGCTCCTGTAGCCAGGGATGCATGGCTCAGTCCACACACACACTTCAGCAGGGAAGGAAGGTCTGGTATACAATTACTGAGTACACACAGACAAAACCATAGCAGGACAAAACAAATACTTAAACTGCAGCTTCTGTAGGCTCACCATTACACCCTTCATTTTCACAAGGCATAACATGAAAGGTGCACAGACTGCCTGCAGGTGCACTCAAAGCCTTTCACTTCCTGCACCCCAGTTTAATCTGCAAATATTGGTACTGGTGGTTTATGGTTTTAGAGCAGACTTGAAAGTTAGGTTAGTTGAACAAAATTCTGTACGGTATTGTAATGGGAAGAAAAAGTAACAGGAAACAGCTACTCACTTGGGGTTTATCTTCTCCCCCTTGTCTTGCAGCGTCTGAAGAACTTCTTCGCCACACAGCAGTAAGCGTACTTTCTTATTCTCATGGTCAAATTTTACTAGCATATACTCCACCTTGTAAATAATAAAAACAAAACAAACAGTTAAAGGATGGGATTTTCTTCACACACAAATTCATTGGCACTTGAATTTAAGTACCAGCTATAACGGGATGGCAGACGTCAGACTGGACTTCACCTCTAGAGAGGCTTAAAACCATGGCTAACTATGAATGTGGTAAACAATGCTGAAGAAGACAGCTGCTTGTTCATTTCATCTTGAATGAAGAACTGAAAATTCCTTGAAATCTGATTTGAAAATCCTCAGTTTTTAACTGTGGTCACTTCAGAGATTCTGAATTTACATTTGCCTCCATTATTGGCGTTATTTGCTAAACCATGCAAACTATTAACCACAAGCGTGCCTCTGTCATCCCATGGGTTACAGTCTGCAGCTGACTAAAATAAAATAAAATAAAAAAGATAAACTCTCACTTAAAAACAGGATGTCCATTTACATTAGCCACTTGTTGGAGCTATAAACCCTACAGCCACAGAGCCTCAGTTACAGCACAGAAAGCCCAGGGTTGTAACAAACGGCACCAGCCCTGCCATAAATACACTCCAGCTCTTGGTAGAGCACTGGGGCTTCCACCCCTTCTTGGTTCAGCCTTGCTTCCACGGCCCTTCTTGCCTCCCTGCCCCACAGCACCTTGCTCCAGGCCTCTGCATGTCCCCGGGGCTGTCACCTCCACCCGCTCCTGGCACCACACTGGTGGAGAACTTGACCCAAGAAGTCACTAAAGAAAGCGGTGCCAGTGCTGTGCCCCAGATCTGAAGGAAATGGTTTTTGCCCAACAGAGATTACCTGAAAGCCATCAGACCCGGAACACCCACATTTCAAGCCTTCTAATCTTGACGCATACTTGCTATCAAAACTCCCTTAAGGCCTTTTAGAGCACCACCTGACAGCCACCTGGACATTATAACCCTCCGATACTGACTGATATAACTATTTCCTGACACATATTTGGAAGGGGATGCTTTGCCTGCCAAGTAAAATCAGAAATCATACATGGAAATGCATCACAAGGGCTGTGAGAACTCCTGGCTGGCCCAGCAGTGATACACAATGCTTTCTGTTTGTAGCTCTCAAACCCCTGCTTCCACGACTAATCTAATGCAAACATCAAGCTCAAGTTGTGAACTGTAAATCCACTGCTAGAATTTATCAGTCTTTGTGCTGTGCTATTCAGTCATGTTTTCTGACTTTGTGTAGGATGCCATCCAGCAGTACTTACTGAACTCAGCTGCTTCGATGCCAGAGGCTCAGACTCACCACGACACAGATTTTGGAGCTGCTGGGTCCAAGCTGGCAGCAACTTCTTTTTGTACAGAAGTCTGTGAGTATAGGAAAACAGCCTGCCAAAGCACAGGAAAGCTTGGTGCAGTGCTTTCCAGCATACTGTAAGTGGATTTGTGGGCTTCCCAGTCTTTGGTTACTTTGGCATTCACAGAAGAGTTGTTGCTAGCCGCAGTGACAATGAATGTAATCCTCTGTTGGGATTTGTGATTAAATCTGAAACAGCATTACCCGAGAATGTTTGTAATTCTACAGAATCTGATTAGACAAATCCTGCAGGGACTCATTGAGCAATTATGCATGTTCTCAGTATTTTTTAAGATCAAATCTTAATCCCCTAAAGAAAAATGATTTCTAGTTTCCGTGCAAGATGCTATTTCTTTGCACAGCATGTTTTGTGGTTTGTGTGTATTGTGCCACAACAATCTACTCGAGATAACTGCAGACAACAGTCAACCAGAACGCACTCGAGCACTGATTTAGTTATTACCAAGTACCAGTCTCTCACTCTCAAGTGACACTTGACCCCTGATTAGTGGGGATATAAAAGGACTTTTTTCACACCTTCTTGTTTTCCTACCACATCTCTTTCTGCTTTGGAAAAGCTTCAGCCAACTTATCCTTGCTCAGACCCAGCCCGAACTAGTGGATACATAACTAGTGGTACAGAAATGCAGTTCTCCAAGTTATAAAGACAGACGTGTGACAGGATATATTGAGCCTGCTGCCCTCCTGGCATCCCACCATGCAGTCCTTGTGGTGCCTTCAGGAAGGACTGAAAGCAGGAACATGGCAGAGTAATTGCAGCTGTGTCTGAGAGACACCAAAGGCCAACATTTGTCCACTATTCTAATTTATGTTCCTGTGATTAGCCTCCTATCTCAGTAATCCCTCTCCAAATCTAATTACAAGCTGGTAGAGTGAACACTGTACTTCTCTATAAGCTGTATTATATACAGCTTAAAAGTTTCACAAAAGAAAATTAGCCAAAAGAATGTAAAGAAGCATTAAGCCAAGAAGGCAACAAGAAAGAAACCAAAACGTTTCATGATCTGAGTGCTGTAGTGAATATATTTCATTTATGCAAACAGCTTTAGAAACAACTGCTACTCTTGCCTCTGGAAACATTTGACTAAACCTTCAAAGTTGTCTTCACACACAGAAGATCTGCCATTAATTTTAATGAGAAAAGAAGAAAGCTTCAGACAGCTGCCAACGATTCTGAGTAACCCACAGAATATCTTGCCAACAGAGGGACCGACTGAATGGGCATCCTTGAAGAATTTTATTTAAGCTCATCAAAAGATTTAGCCTCCAGCTAGAAAAAGGGAAACAAATTCACAGTTCACACATTTTTACATTTAACTTCAGCTCTTCGTTTACAGACTTTGCACATGTTTTTTATCCACAGTGAAGTTCAGAGAGCTGCGGCCTAGCTGAAAGCATCAGTATGCCCATGAGAGCTTTGACTCTGAAGGCCAAGTGTGTGGGGCTTCACCCAGCCTTTGTAATTCATCGTTTTGCCAGACTCCTTTATAGTTCACTTTTCTCCCTGTTTTTAACTAGTCTACCTGCAAGGGAAGTGCACCTTGCCACTCACTGTAAGGAAGGCAGACACCATGGACCGATGGGCCCAGCTGGGGCTCCTGTCCCAAAGCAAACCAAACCCTAGATGTCTCTCTTCTCCCGCCAGAACGCACAGTATGAGGAGGAAAAAAGCCTGCCACTTGGCTCCCTCCTGCAGAGAGGGGTGTACAACCTTGTTTCAGTGGTCTAAACCCTCCGAACAGCAAGAGTCTGTCCAGCTCACAGAAGTGTGGTGGACACCTCACCAGGAGAAGGACAAGACCTTGGCCAAGAAGATTGCGAAGTGAAAGCTGTAAATCCCTCCACATATACAACAAACCTAGGAAAAAAAATTAAAGTTAAATGCATTCAAATGGCAAATAAATTCTCCATACAAAATAAATAATATTCAAGGGCAACTGATCTACCTCTGAGACAAAAACTGTTCTTTACCAGCTTCCTTCAACTACCAACCTGCAGGATACTGCAACTACAGAATATTTCCACATCAGTTTCACTCCGTGGCCTTGTCTTCTAAGAGGGAGGCCTTCACCAGCAGCTTGCTGTCAGGACAGTACCTAGAATAGCCTTGCTTCATTTGTCAGGATTACTTCTCATAGCTGGCTACTGGAGAAATGTCAGGCTTTCAAAATTCTTAATGCTGCTTCTGTAAATATGACTGCAAACAAGACCTTGAATCACCCTCAACTGGGGAAGAGCCAAACCACTCTCCCCACACGAAGCCAAATAGTTGTTACTGGACTTGCCCGGCAGCAACATGAAAGCTAATAGTCCTCTGAAAATGGGCGAGCATGTCTAAAGCTGTGTTTGAGTGCTAGAGTTCACAGAGTTTTATTTGACCATAATTGCATGTATTCTTCCTGCAGAGAACTCGCTGCTTAAGCCTGAAGAAATATCCGTCAAGCAACTCTCCAGCAACAACGCTACGAGCTGAGGAGGACTTAAGCTGATGCAAGTCCCACAGGGTATCATTGTCCAAATACACACCTGGGCAGCGGCCAGTTTCCCGGTATCAGCTCCCCTCCCAGCACACAACTAACACCGTTATGCCAGGTACACCAGGAACAAAGCCTGGCTAACATTTGGGCAAAAGCCTTTGCTCCAGAGCGTAGTTACCCAGGTGCTTTTAGCATACCAACTATTTGCCACGAGGCACGTCTGTACGTAAATACACAAGTAGGAATTTGGTCTCGCAGCTCGGTAAGGTCAGACATGAGGTGCTGAGCAGGCTGAGATTCTAAAACAGAGGAAGATACGTCAATAAGAGTTATCTGAAAAGGAGCTGCTTTTGAGAGGAAAGCGGGCAAGTTTGCATGCTCTCTGCCCTGTCCATCCTCCTGGGAAAATCAGCCCTGTGCACTCGCCTTTTACCTGGGCTTCTGATCGCCTGCCTCTGGCTAGACCTGATCACAGATGAGTCACTGGAGACACAGCAGAGTCCCGGATGACTCACAGCCGACCCTTCTTCCTAGAATAAAATCTTAGTGATGCTTTCTTCCCTAGCAGTGCCTTCACTGGGCAGCCACTGCCACAGGGATCTGGAGCAATTGCTGGAGTCACCTTATAATGCCAGCTCTCTTTATGCATACTTCACCCCTGGCCTGGAGCTTTTAAGAAAGATCTGAGGTTTTTCCTGACTTTTCTTGGCTTTTGCTAACTATTCCCAGAAGCCACTAGAACATTTAATTCACATCTCTTCATGTAGTATGCCTCATATATTTACGTACACAATAAATAAAAAAGGCAACCTTTCCTCTCAAGAGCCTCAAACAAAACAAAACTCATTTAACCAGTTATTAAACTACATCATAGCAAAAAACGTAATTCCTGATACATTTATTGGTCAGTTAATGCATCATTAACATGCCACATATCATTAAAATACCAGCCTACAGAAGAACAAAGTTTTAATAACCTGACTGCTCATCAAAAGACCTCTACCACAAGTATTCAGTGCTAACAAGCAAAAAGTAGGTTTTTCTGTAAGCACACGTACTTACAATATATGTAGAGTTTTTTAAACACAGCTATTTTCTCACCACTGCTGTCATAAAACGTGGAGCCACAGTAATAACCAGATCATGATGCACCTTTAATGAAATGTTTACTGGCCCACAAAGGGCAGC